TAGTGTCTGGAAACTCTTGACCCATCATATAAAGAATGAGCCATTGCATCAGGTGTGCTGTGTTGTCTTACCAGTTGTGGTGGTGGTGGTGTGACTTTGGAGGTTCCCAGAGGAGAGGAGGCCTCCACATCCACCACATCCATGGCGTTGTTGTCATCAACAAGGAAGAAATCAGAGCACTTGTCAATACACTGGAGGAACCAGAGGATGAAAGCCAGTTGCTCCAATTCATGTAGCACCAAGCCACACTCAATGAGCTTCTCCTTGTCCATCATCTTGCTGACAGCATACTGTTTCTTGCCATCCTCTGAGAATCAGCACAGCTTCTTGAGGCTCCTCTTGATGCCCTCCTGCACTGCCTTGCCTGAGGCTGAGAGTGAGTTGTTGGCCAGCCACTGGAGCACCTTGATGATGTGGAGGGCCTTGTTGCTTGATGCACAGGTTGGTGATCTCAAGTGCCTCCATGTCCTGCATGAAGTGGTAGAAGTTTCCCAGAGTGCTCTTCCAATTGTGTGCTATCTGGTAGATATGGTGTGATGCCACCTTGGGCTTGATATGGTGGCACTGCTGTGATGCTGTGCCCTTGCCCACTGGCGACAATGATCTCACTGTAGCTGGTCCAGCTGCTGGTGCTGTCCCAGATAGTACCTGTTCTCACTCAACAACAACAAAAACCATGTGCTCAACCACCCCAAGGACAAGGTGCTCTACATCAAAGCAACTTCCACCTCAAAAGTCCTGTTAGTTGGTGAACTGCCAAGAAGAATGTGCTCAGTTTGCAAGTTTGCAAGACAGGTTCACTTGGCCAACTGAACAAGTTTTGAAACTCATCAATGTTAGTTCATACACTTGACAAGTTTTAAAACAGGAACATAGAGTTTCTCAAACTACAGCATCATGTAGTTTGCAAACTGCTGACAAAAAAGGTGCTCAGTTTGCAAACTAATTGAGCATATTTTAGAATGTCACTGAAAATTCAGCGAGATTTCACGATCCCTAAACCCTTGACCACCGCCACCACCTCGGCCGACGTTGCTGCTGGCATCGATGTCGCTGCCGCTGCCAACTCCAGCACCCTACTGATGCCAACGCTGGTTCTCAAGCTGGCGCTGCCATCGCACATTCTCACGCTCTCGCGCTTCCACTTACGACGCGCTGAGAAGAAACGTCAGTGCCTCCCAAACATTGGTGCCATGTTGCCGCCGCCAACATCGCGCCAGCATCGTGTCGCCATCTTCGCCATTGTTGCTGCTGCGGGCACCACCACTTTGCCGCCAGCGGGCAAAAGTCAGCGCCACGCGGCACAGACGCCCGCCCTCCCGCATAGACCTCGCTGTGCTGCCGCTGCTGTTGCTAGTTGGCGCGCGCTTGCGTCAGTTGCGCCGCCCAACACGCGCGGATACGCCGCCGTGCAGCTGACAGCGCGCGCCGACAACGGCACCAGTCGTTGCCAGCGCGCCAGCACCTCGGCGGCTGTCGGCACGCGCTCACGCTCGACACCAGCGGCGCCACTCATGCGCCAGCTCCATGTTGACAGCAAAGCTTGCACTTAGGCGTCATCGTCGCCTATGCCTTTGCCGAGGTCTCGCGGATGCCGACGCCCCCTTTGACGCCAACAGCAAATGCCTTCACCACAAGCTAGCGCCGCGCCAACGCCAGCAGCGCGCGCCAGCAGCGCACGCCAACGCCAACACCGCGCTGATGGCGACAACGCCAGCTACCACGCTCAACACGCGCCTCTCCATGGCTGCTTGCCGATCGCTGCTGTCGCCCGCCGCCGCCACCTCTGCTGCTGCTGCGGACCCACGCACGTTAGCGTCGCTACACCGCTGCGCCAGCAGCGAGCCGAGGACCTCGCGCTTCCGTCGCTGCAGGGCCGCGCTCGTCTTTGTCGTCGCCAATGCCAAAGCGCTAGACCGACGTGCCAGCGACGCAGAGACAACGTTGACTCTGGCTCCAAGGCCAACGCCAACGCCGACGCCGACGCCAGCGACTTGACGCAAACGCTATCAGCACACGTCGGAACCGCGTTGACACCGGCACGGTGCTGACGCCCAAGCCAGCAGCGCAAGCCAACGCCAGCACCGCATGTCAACGCTGGTCCCAACGCGAACGCCTCCTGCGTCCCACAGGCACTTGCGCATGGAGCTACTACTTCAGCGATGTCGTAGGTGTAGTGAGTGGGTGGAAGAGAAAGGAGTCGATACTGTAATTTGATAGTAGCGGAAGAGCAAGCATAACCGAGAGAGCTGGAGAGAATGCGGTCAGCCGAGCAGGTAGATCGGACAGGTAACCGTGACGTTCATACTCCGAGTTGGGACACGGAGGAGCCGCTGTGGTCGCCGACCTGCTGGTCGAGGAAGGTGACGACGTCGTCCATCCGCGGCCGCTTGTCTGCCGACGCGTGCCAACACCTCTTCATCATCTTCCTGAAGTCGGGTGGGCAGTCGTTGGGGATCTGCGGTCGCTTGCCTTCGAGCACGTCGAGCGACACGCCCATGAAGTTGCGGCCGGCGAAGGGCTCCTTCCTCGTGGTCACCTGCCACATGATCACGCCGTAGCTGAACACGTCGGCCCTCTCGTCGTACTTCTCCCCGCGGATGATCTCTGGCGCCGTCCAGCACGGCGTGCCGCAGCGCGTCATCGTGGCGTTCTCCTCCTTGATGCGCGCGAACCCAAAGTCGGCCACCTTCACGTTCCAAGTCTCATCCACGAGCAGGTTCGACGGCTTGAGGTCGCGGTGCACGATGACCGGTTGGAGCGAGTGGAGGTAGTTGATGCCCAGCGCGGTCGCGTGCAGCAAACGCAGCTTCTGCTTCCATGTCAGCTTGATCGCGTTGTTCGCCAGGATGTCCTGCAGACTTCCCTGGTTCATGAACTCGGTCACGATGCACAGGTTGGGCTTCTTCACGCACGCTCCTGTTGTTGTGTATACAGTGTTGCTCGTCAGCCACTTCGCCACTTTCTTGAATTCGTGTACTCAATTACTGTCGTAAGACTAAACCAACAGGGCGAGTGCGTACCGATGAAGAGGACGATGTTGGGGTGGTGCAGCTCCGACAGGAAGGCCATTTCGGCGCGGAACTCGAGCATGCGTCGCTCGTCGAGCTTCTGCTTGATGAACCGCTTCACGGCCACCTCGACGCCCTTCCACTTGCCGCGGTACACCACGCCATAGGACCCCAGCCCGACCTGCCGGCCCACTTGGATCTCTCCAAAGTCGATGATCCACCGGCACAGGTTGGCCGACGTGAGAAACGTGTCCTCCTTGAACTTCATGCCCTCCCCGACGGCCGTTTGCAGCTCTCCTCCGCCGTCGCTGCCGCTGTCGCTTCCGCTTCCGTAGGCTGCTCTGGTGGCAGTCTTCTTGCCGCCATGGCGGTCGGATTGCGAGTCGTTGGACCGACCGCTCTTGTGGCTGTCGCTGCTGGCGTGGTCGCTGTCGTCTTGAGCCACGCCGCCGAAGAAGCGACCCTCGAGACCCAGCGCCTTGGTTTCGTACAGTCGCTCGCCTAGAACAGAAAAATTGAATCGCGAATGGTTAGACAAACAGAAATGAGGCCTCAACAAGAAGAAGAAGAAGTAGAGAATTTTACCGTGAGGGACGTCAGGCATTTCGAACTTGCCGCCCAGACGGACGATCCGCTTGTGGTCGGTGGAGGAGTCGCGGATCTTGTCGTAGACGGCTTGACTCATGACGATCTGCCCGCCGTGGGTCATGGCCGTGATGCGTGCTGCGGCGTTTACGACCGGACCAAAGAACTCCACCCGCCGCGTCATCGGATCTCTCACGACCCGGGGCACACCCAAATGCACTCCCATTCGCACCCGCAGCCCCTTGTACACCACCCTGCCACACAGCACGCAAGAATACAAATAAAGAATAGAGTAATCATAAGAAGAATAAGAACGAGTAATGAATGCGAGGACGGATGATAAGGCGTGGTGGTGGTGGTGGTGAGGGTTACCGGTCGTCAGTGTCGCCCCACTCTTCAGCTGCGCCAGGGTGATTCAAGAGGGCTTCGGGCCAGTCGAGCCCGAGCAGGGTCTGCTGCACGTCGCAGCACCAGGCCAGCGCGTCGGCGGGGTTCTGGAAGGCCATGCAGAAGGACCCCTCGCCGCTGTTCCTCTCCTTGATGAGCACCACCTCATACCCGCGGTGCCTCGTTAGCACCGCGCGCAGGGTCTGATTGTGCACCAGCGTGGCGTCGCGCATGGCCGACGGATTGAATTCCCACAACGAAGCCGCGCGCGTGATGTCGGTGAACACGATGGTCACCTCGCCCTCCGGTGCAGCATGTCCGCCCGTGTGTGCCGTACCCTTGTCCGTCGACGACGACGATCCTCCCGAAGATGACGACCCAGCCGACGAGTTGTTCGTCGACGGCAGGGTCCACGACGCGTCGCGGACGTGGCCATGGGCGGCGGTGACGCCTCCGGACGAACTGGAGGATGTCGACGTCATTCCCGACACGCTTCTGGATTCGCCCAGCATGGCCGACAGGCGGGTCATGATTTCGAGGAATGTGGGGCGGATGGTCGGGTCCGAATGCCAGCAGCATGTGATGAGTTCGCCGAATTCGTGCGGGCACGACGTCGTCATGGTCATGGCATCGGGCACGGCGGGCCGGATGTGGTCCCTGATCACGGCCACGGCCACGGCGGCGGGGCTGAGCCCCAAGTAGGGCTGCTCGCGCGTGAGGAGCTCCCACAGGATGATGCCAAACGAGTAGACGTCAGCTAAGATGAAGTCGACGTCCGCGCACTCGTTCAGGATCTCGGGCGCGGTCCAGTGCACGCTGCCGGCCACCTCCTTGGCGGCGCCCTTGGACATGTCCTCCTTGAACTTGGTGAGCCCAAAGTCGCTCACTTTCACGTTCCACTTGCCGTCCAGCAGCAGGTTGAGCGACTTCAAGTCTCTATGCACGATTCCTGAGTGGAAAATGCGGGTTAGAGGGATTAGTTTGTTTTTATTTATTAAGTTAAAAAAGAAAAGAGATCATAAATCGCACAAAAAAGAGGAATATGTACCGGAGGAGTGGAGAAAGTGCATGCCCTTTGCGGCTTGGTAGCTCATCTTGGCCTTGAGCACGAAAGGCACCTCAGGTACGAGCTCGTTGTGCAGCAACTGGTTCAGGTACGCCACCATCGCGGGCGAGCGTCAGCGACCACCGCCCCACCCAGCCAGATAACATATACGCATGGAGAGCAGAGGATCGTACGTCATAGAGGGAGCCGAGAGCCATGTACTCCATGATGATACACATCTTGGGTGGTTTGGTGGAGGCGGCCATGAACAGGACCACGTTCGGATGCCGCAACGCCGTCATCACGCGCACCTACACAATAATAATTATAATTGAAAGCTGAATTGTCAGACTACAAGGAATTGGGTGCAGAGCGATAGGGAGTGCGTACCTCGTCCTTGAAGCTCTTCTCCACGTCCTTGCCCAACCGCTCAGAGGTCATCACCTTGACGGCCACCTCAGTGCCCTTCCACACGGCCTTGTACACCTCGCCGTATCCGCCGGCTCCCAGCTGTTCGCCCATCTCCAGTTCGCTGAACTCGATCTCCCAGTCGTCGGTTCCGTTACGCTGCCACTTGATGATGGCCAGCAGAGCCAGTATGAACCCCACCAGCACCAGCAGCAGCACCACAGCCAACGGTATCGCCACACCTGCGCGAAGAGAATAACGTTAACACTGTTATCGTTGATCACTAATTGTCTGTACTTGACGTTATTCCTTATTTACATTGGACAGTTTTGCGTGTGGGAGGTGGAGTACCGAGGGCGATGGTGAGCGGGTCCGTCGACGAAGATGCGAAACTCTCGCAGTAGTCGCCCTCCCTTCCCCTATCGCATGAGCACGTGTTGTTATCGCAGGTGCCGGCATTGGAGCATAGGGTGCCATCGATCACGCAGTTCGCCACTAGGCTCACCTGCTCACCCGCACACGTGAAGCCCACCAACTGGTTGAGCATGCGTCTGTAGAGTGTGCCTGCCTCCGTTGCGAGGGCAAAACCATGTCTGTTTGTAGTGCGTGTGTGAGATGAGAAGGAGCAAAACACGGTAGTGTGTTATGCACGCGTGAGAGGGGTAAGGACCTTTCAGCGATCCGCTTGGCGTCGGGGTGCGACTGGGTCCAGTAGATGAATTCGGCCAGGGCGCTGGCTTCATCGCAGAGCTGCATGGTCGTGTGCAGGTAGATTATAGAACCGAACGTTGCCACAGGCCAGCTGCCCGCGCTCGGTTCTACGATTGGCAACACGGCACAGACGCGACAGATACACGCGACGCACAGGCATAGTTTTTTTAGGCTCGGGAAACACTAACTCGCTAGGGCAAGAGCGAAATGTACGCAGCAAGAGATCGGTGACGGTGATGGAGGTGGAGCCGCTGGCGGCATAGTCCAGGAGAGCGCTGCGGACAGAATCGGTGTTGGCGCTCACCACTGAGTTCGAGGACATGTTGAGTGCCGCAGCAGCCACTCCCTGCAACTTTCGAGAGACGAAGCCAACTCAACATGGCACTGTCGGGGAAGTAATTTACCTTCTCACAAGAACGCATGCAGAGAAACAAAGAAAGGTGAGAGGCGCACCTGGAGCACTTCGTAGCTCATCCACCACGCGAACGAATAAGGGGTGGCCTGCAGCATCGTGTGGACGCTGTTCGTGGAATCTATAATCGATCGGTTGTCCGCGCTTTGCACTGGAAATGTTACAAGGGAACCCACTCCCACCTGTTGTTGTTGTTTTCAAAGTTAGTCAAATGGGGGGGGGAACTATGACGAAAGGAGCCGGCGTCGCGTACCGCAGCTGCGAATTGGGGCACTTTGGAACTGAGTACGGTGGTGAAGAGGGTCGTCGTGATGGACTCAACAGACTGGCTGATGACCAAGATCGCCTGCGCAGGCAGGGCCGCGGCCACTTCCGCAGAATTGAGGTCCAAGATGCGCTGATCGTTCCACATGGTGATGTCGTTCAGATAGATGCCGGCGATGACGTCAAAGTCCAGAACCAGCTCCAACTCGCTCAGCTCGGGCACGTTGTACGCTGTCCACAACCCCCCGGACTTGGTTACCAATCAAGCAAGGGAAAAAGAAACGAGAAAAGGAAAAGGCGGGTACCAGGTACGGCGGCGGAGGCGAAGACAGGCAGAGCGACGATGTTGGCGAAGCTGCCGGTCGACCCGTCCTGCACTACGCCGAAGGCGACCTCGTCGGTGGCCACTTCTTTCTGCTGCACTTTAGCATTAGAGGCCCAGTACTTGAGCTTGAGCACCTGCGTGGACCAGGCGGCCCACGACGTGAGCACAGGAAGAGCGGGTCCGACGGAGGTGAGGAAGGACGTCGTGTAGGCCTGCTCGCCGTTACACGACACCTTGCGCAGCATGTTGAGGATTCTCTTGCGCAATACTTGCGCTATCGGCGCCACGTTGAGGTTCGCTGCCGCTTGGATTGCCCTGTACACGCACGCGATCCAACGCAAGGGAGGGTTAGTTTCGTATGCATGATTCTAGAAAAAGAAACAATTGAATAATCATGGTGGGTTGCGTGCGTACGCGTCATTCGTGTGGGTCCATGCTACAAACGCCAGCAGCTCCTGCGTTTTGGTGCAATCGAATGCTGTGATATTCTGCTTCATCGACAGGTAGCTCAGGAATGAAAGAGGCCAGGATCCGTTGCCTGGCCCGTCCACGATGTCGACGGTGAAGTTGCTCACGTTGAACGCCGCGCTGAAATCGTTCATGGCCGACTGCACAGACGCCACCGAGGGCTGGACCATCTTGCCGGCCTTGTTGATCATGTTCATCCACTTGAAGCCAGACCCCACCGTGTCGACGTAGTTGACGAACGTGAGACTGTTGTCGTGCGCCTGTTGGTGGAATGAGTGAGGAGAAAGAGTCTCACACACACACACACCACACAGGAACACACATTGAAACACGGGTCGCATTTCGCGTTAATATGGGAACCCTACCTTGAGCCAGGCCAATCGCAGGGCAGTTGACCCACCGGCGGCTTGCGCTCTGCCTTCCTGAGCTGGCGGCATCAGGGCCCAAGTCCGGTTGGCCGCAGCCAAGGCCGCCTTGAAGTCGGGGCTGAACCCTTCCATGGCGACCTTCAGTACCTCCACAAGCGACACCACGCTGGCGCCCGTGTTCTCGTTGTAGCCTATGAAGATAGATGCCGCGGGCAGTTTGTTGGCGATGGCCGGGTTCAGATCCTTGATGCGCTGGTCGTTCCACATGGTGATGTTGCCGGCCCAGATGAGACCCAGCTCCTCTCGTCCGATCACCTGGTGTAGTACAACCAATTACCCAACAAAGCTAGAGAGCAATCAAAGGAGGCAAAAATTATATGGAGGGTGAGCTGGCTGGCCGTACGATGTTGGGGTCGGTGGAGTTGAGTGCGCTGATGTTGTAGACCATGACTTGGGCCTGGCCGGCCAGTGGCAGCTGCGCCAGACCTCCGTACCGTGCCGACAGCTCGGGCGTCAGACCGCGGTCCATCACGAGATAGTCCTGTGGCAAAAGTGCCACCCCCCCCAGTTCAGCAGTGCTTGCGGATCTATCCACCACCAGCCAAAAGAGCAAAGCGGAAAAGTTGACGCACGAATAACAAAAGCGAGCGAAGTAAGAAGGAAATGTGGTGTTGGGGGGGGGGTAAGTACGGCGCCTTGGGAGAAAGCAGCTAGAGCTGGGACAATGTTCAAGGTCTTGTAGGTGATGCTAAACACCTCCCCATTGTGGGTTAGAGGTGAAAAAAGCTCGCTCGTGGCGGGTGAAGGGAGGGAAAGTCAACGCACCTGACATCGTCACGAGCGAAGAGGTAGGCAGGCGTCCACTTGGCAAAGACCGAGGCAGTGTTCGGCCCGCCCACGCCGTTGATTTCCACACCAAACGAGGCCGCTGCAGTGCGAACAAAGGTCGAAAAGAAAAGAGAGAAAAGAGCGAAAAAGACACATCAGCATGGCCAACTTGCCGAGATAAGGGGCAAAGCGCTCCAGCTAAAGCAAGGGAAGGGCACCTTGACCCACCCAGACCAATAACCACCAGAGTAGGCAAAATAGTAGGGACGGTGCTAAGGTAGCCATGATGGGCCTGCTGCTTGGTTGGTGTGCTTTGCTGGGACAAATGAAGCACAATGACTGATCTGCTAGTCCAACCAAATAGTTGACCGCCACATCAGATCTGGGGCTAGGAATATCTTCCTGGCAACACAAAGCCCTAGTTAGTCTCGGCCTTGTCTTCTTTTGTGACAGTCACCAGAGTGACGGGAGCTCCAATGGTTGTCTTGGCTTCTGCGTGCCTGTCTCTGGCCAATGTTGACTTTCAGGCATGCCAAACTTCTTCAGTATTGATTGGGGCCTGATGCCAAAAAGTATGGCAAACTTCGCCGCGTCCACCTCCACAGCTTCGTTGGCCTTGGCGTCGCACATGACCTTCACGGGCTCCCCTGCGGCCCTTTTTGCCTTGACTGCCACGTTCAGCTTGTGCATGATGGCAGCGTAGTTGTCATTGCCAAGCACCTCCTGGTGCCTTGCTTGAAAGCACACATGAGCTCAATGTACTCAACTCCGGTCTCAGAGTTGCTGTCACCTTCCTGGATCAGCGTAAAGAATTGAAGTGCTGCAGCGCATATACAACTGGATGCCACTTCCTACCGTGTAGTGGCGTGAAGTCCCCCCCTGCCTGTGCGAGAAAGCCACTGACTCCTTTGTTGCACTTCTGTTTTTTTGGGACGAGCCACACTGCCAGGATGGTAGATGGTAAAAAGACAGCATTTTCCACCTTCTTTGAAGCTAATTTTGGCTTGTTGATTTCACCTATTTTCATGTTACAGTGCACCTATTTGCACTGTTACACTGTATTGGAAAAGATGCACAATTACACCTTCTTGCCACCTTTGCCTCCACTCATGGCTCATGGTCATTGGCTGCTCATGGCTTGTGGCTTGTGGCTTGTGGCTCATGGTTGTTGGCTGTGCTCTTCTGCGCTGCTTGTGGCTCATGCTCAGCTGCACTCTTCTGCGCTGCTTGTGGCTCATGGTTGGCCATGCTCTTCTGTGCTGCTTGTGGCTTGTGGTCTTCCACTAGTAGTTGTGGTTGTCTGTTATTCCTCAAAGTCCACTATGGCTGTCATGTAGGGTTGGTGAGGCATGGCCCACCTATCACCAATGTGCCACCTCACTTGGTGGTTGTAAACCATGCTGTTTTGTTGTGGCATGAGGTGGATGTGCTTGGTGACAGTCCACCTGTTCCATCTGAATGGAAGGTAGAATTGTCACACACTGAACCTGAACTCCAGAAAGCTGTCCCTGAAGCTGGCCAGCTCACCAAGCTTGAGCTCAAGCCAGGGCTGTGCCATACCATCACATTTGATGGTGAGTAGGTGAGTGATCTTTAGGGTTTAGGGTTAGTTAGGGTTAGGGTTAGGGTTAGGGTTAGGGTTTAGGGTTAGGGTTAGGGTTAGGGTTAGGGTTAGGGTTAGGGTTAGGGTTAGGGTTAGGGTTAGGGTTAGGGTTAGGGTTAGGGTTAGGGTTAGGGTTAGGGTTAGGGTTAGGGTTA